ATCCACAGGAGAGCAGGGCTGGAGACCCAGCTAGACAATGAGCATGCTCATCCCCTGCCCTCAGGAATGTGGCAGGGCAGCCAGAGCCACTGGGGCTGAGCTTCAGCAGAATGGCTGAACAGCCATGGGCCGCACATGGCCTGGGCAGATCCATGCTGGAATGGAGGGACAGGGATATGACTTATGACCCTGCCACCACACATGTTTCATTCCCAACATCAGCCTCCAGGGCTGACCCTTCTCCCCAGATCTTTGTAATTGGAAAAACTAATCACCCCCTTTTTGGAGTTCCTTATGTTCTCTCTCTAGGCTATTTGAGATGATTATCAACAGTTTCTGCTTGAGGCTAGAAAAATATCCCTGGGGCCGATGGGCGGCCAGCACAGCTGAAAAAAAAAAAAAAAAAAAAAAAACAAGATTGACTTGGGATTCCTTTTGATGCGCCCCAGTTGGGACTTCAACACTGCTGAAGGTAGGGAGACCTTAAAAATCTATCGCCAGGCTCTGGTGGCAGGTCTCTGAGTTGCCGTGACATGGCCCACCAATTTGGCTAAGTTAAAGAAAACACTTTTTGACCCTAGTTCAGAAGCCCAGAGAGCTTCGGTGGCTCTGGTCTTCATGGGGAAATTGGGCCCCAGATATTAGGAAGGAACTCCATAGACTGGAAGAGTTAAGAGACAGAGAAAGTGTATTGAAGGGACAGAGAAGGGAAGGAGAGAAACAAAAGACAGTAGAGAGACAGAGAGCAGAGAAAAAGCATGACAGAAGACAGGAAAAGAATTTCACTAAAATACCTTGGCTGCAGTGGTTAAAGGAAAGTTAGGAAATTTAAAACAGGCTAGGAAACCTGGGCAACAGGACCCCACTTGACAAGGAGGAACAGTGTGCATATTGTAAAGAAAAAGGACACTTGGCAAATGACTGTCCCAAGAAGACAAGGTATCGAAGGTCCTAGCCCTAAGAACGGATAAAATTAAAGGGAAACGGGGTTTGGCACCCCTCCCAAAGCCCAAGGTAATTCATGGACTACCCGAAGAACAGTGGACCTCGGCGTGGGCCGGGTACCCCACTCGTTCGAGGTTACATCCCACCAGCCAACTGCTTTTTGCCTTTGAATGGAAGGACCCTGACACGTGCAGAACTAGGCAGCTCATCTGGAGCTGACTGTCCCAAGGGTTTAAAATTCCCCAACGATGGCCAGACAAGTAGGAGAATTTCTGGGGACATCTGGGTTTTGCAGGCTGACTAAGGAAAAAATTCTCCTGGACCCCAGAGCACCAGGAGGCATTTGATGCCATTAAAAAGGCCCAGCTGAAAGCATTGGCTCTAAGCCTTTTGATATAACTAACCTTTTACCCTTTATGTGGATGAGCATAAGGGGGTCGCCTGGGGAGTTTTAACCAAATCCCTAGGGCCGTGGGACAGACCAGTTGCTTATCTGTCAAAGAAGCTTGATCCTGTAGCAAGGGGAGGGCCTGTCTATCAAAAAGATATCACTGCTGACAAGTTGACTTTGGGGCATAAAGCAACAATAATAGCCCCCATGCATTGGAGAGCATTGTCTGGCAGCCACCAACTGATGATGACCAACGCCCGCGGGACCCACCACCAAAGCCTGCTTCTCACTGAGAGACTGAGCTGATTGTGTTCGCTCCACCAGCCAGCCTCATCCCACCACTCTTCTGCCTGTGGAGACTGGTGAACCAGGGACTCATGACTGCCATCAACTGTTGGTTAAAGAGACTGGAGTTTGCAAAGATCTTAACGACATCCTGCTGGCTGGGGAGATGATGACCAGTTCACTGCCAGGATCAGTACATATAAAAGGTAAAGAAAGGACTGGGGCGGTGGTACTGCTCGACGAAGAGAAGTCCATAAACATTAACAGGCAACAGGTATGCTTTTTCAACTGTTCATGTGCATGGGACTGTCTCAACCATGTGGCTAAAAAAAATTACTGAAGAAAATTTTCTGAAGATTCAAAATACCTAAGGTAGTAAAATCAGACAATGGTCCAGGTTTTGTGACCCAGGTAAGTCAGTCACTGGCCAAGATACTGGGGATTGATTAAAATTACATTGTGCATACAAAACCAACAATTCATGTAGAAAGTATAAATAAAACCATTGAGGAGACCTTCACTAAATTGACCGTGGAGACTGGCGTTAATGATCAGATAGCTCTCCTACCCTTTGTGCTTTTCAGGTTTAAAAACACCCCTGGACCATTTGGGCTGAGCCCCTGTAAATGGCTCATTGGTGGGCTCCCTCCACTGGTGGAAATTACCTCTGTACATAGTGCTGATGTGCTGTTTTCTTAAGCCTCTGTTTGCTAGGCTTAAGGTGCTCCAGTGGGTGAGACAGTGAGCAAGAAAGCAGCCCTGAGAGACCTACGTGGTGGGAGACGTGGAAGTTTCACATTACTTCCAAGTTGGAGATCGAGATTTCATTAGATGTCACTGCACAGAAACCTTAAGACTTGGAGGGAGGGAGGGAAGGAGGAAGGAAGGGAGAGGGAACTGGGATCGACATGTATAATAATAAATTACAAAAAAAAAATATGCTTTGACTCAAAACATTAAGTTCAAGGACAAGTTACTGGGGAAAAGGATATCTATTCTATTTTTTTTCCACAGAAAACGAAAAGCTGTGGATTTCTTCCATACTAATGTGGTTTGATCAAGCCAGACCGCCTGAAACAGAGTACCAAGTGAGCCTACATTCAAAACAGCTGGAAAAAGCAGCCTTGCAGACTACAGCCAGGATTTCAGCATCTTCTTAGAATCCCCCATGAGAGCGCCCCTTACCAGCAGGAAGTGGTTTGGAAAGAACGACGCCCAAATTCCCAAATATTGTCTATAGATGTTTGTTTTCATTTAAATGGACTTGGTTATAAAAAATAAATAATAAAAAAGACAGAAAAATACTGTTAAAAGTTTATGACTATCCTCTAAACTTAGTAAAGCAATGCAAGAGTTCTTATCAATGCTTTTAACAGTTTACTGCTAAGAGACAATGACTTTTCTCTAAACTCAGTAAACCAAATCTCTGGTACACTGACCACAGGCAGGTGAAAATAAGTGTTTTTTTTTTTTTTTTTTTTTATCTCATGCTTCAAAGGAATTACTGGCATTTTATAATATGTCTGTAAATTGTGACCAAAGATCTGTTCCTTGTAATTTCTGTATAAAAACCCAATACTCTAAAGTAAAAATGGCAGCAGTTGCAAAACACCTCCAGTGTGTTTGTTTCTGTCAAGACGAAGCCACTCCTGACATGGTCATCGAGTTTTGGTACCCATGGGGGCACATCACCCACTGAGCGGTCTGTAGCATGAGGTGTTATTGGCCGGGTTGTACAGGAACTTCCAACTGTAAGGAAATAAAAGCAGGAACCAGATCAAAAAGTTGATAATTTGTCTTTCTCTCATCAGAAAGCTTGATCATTGCTCTATAACTGTAGGAGTTTTATTCCTGAACCTCAGAAAAACCACTTAACAAACACAAAATTATAAAAAGAGTATTCTTCATGGAAAGTTGAAAATTTAGAGAGGAATGGAGCTAGGAAGATTTTTGTGTATGACCACTACTGTTAGCCAGCACATCTTACTCAGTGAGCAGTTTTAAACAATCTGCATTATTCAAGAATTCAAGCTTTGTAAGACCCTCAGAATGAGGAGTCTCCCAGTTTCCATCGGTATCCCCAAGAACTCAATGTCCAGTCCAGTTGCTGCAACATGCAAGAGGCTTTAATGAACAGGAAACATTTGTGCAAAGGGGCCCCTCCAGCAGGCAGACTAGTGAGAAGAAGCCATCTCCTCCCTCCACCCCCTCCCCACGGCACAGGTGTTTTTAAAGGCAAATACCCCATGCTTAGGGAGGGGGGTGGGACCCTCTGTCCATTGAGTACATGACCCTTTTAGGCTGGTCTCCCTATTAGGGTCAACAGACCTTAGGGCCTCAGGGTGTGCTAATTAATCTTGTCTGGGCAAACCGGAGGTGCAGTTATCTATTTGTTTCTTAAAGACCCTATTCACCACCTGCTGACTCACAAGAAAGGAGGGGCAGTCTGAATTCTGGGTATCTTGTTTTCTCAGGGCCTTGTGAGGGGAAGTTAGCAGATTCCAAGGAACAGATATTGCTAGGGGTTAACTTTCCAGTTTAGTCTGTCCTTCATTTAAAGTGGGGCATTTCTCTAACTTTACTTTTTTGTCTTTCACGCCCTATATCTTATCTCTAGAGAGTAAAGTTCTAGTACTCTGATCTACAAAGCACCCCACCCAGAACCCGCACTTTCCCCACCCTGTGTCCTACTGCGCCCACTGCTCCACTGGTCTGGTTGAGCACTGGGACAGAGAGCGGGTCAAAAAAACACCTCCACCTCCGGAAAATTTCTTGGACCTGCTTTGAAAATACTGGACCCATCTATCCCGCTGGAGCAACCAGAGTGCCCGCCTGCCTGATGTTTATCCGTCATTACTGAGGCTCTGCCGGGGGAGAGACCTCCTAGAGTGACTGGAACAGACAGAGTTACAGACATTGAGCACCTCTCACAACTCTGTCCCCAGGAACTCCTTCTCAAACACACGGTTCCGGGACTGTCCCCTGCACCGCTCACAAGCGGCTGCGATCTCAGGACTTCCGCCTTCCGGTCACGAACTAAAGCTTCCGGTTCGTGGCTGTCAGTGTCCCCCGGAAGACACACATGGAAAACATGCTTCTAGTTCCACCCGGCCAAACTGACACACGATTTCCGCTTGTGAACCAAGGACGTCAGGCTTCCAGTCACTGACTTGAGCTTCACACAAAATGGTCCCCAGGAAAGGTTGCAACGAAGAGATGCACAACTTGAGTTCCACCCATGAAGTAAACAGGACGGAGTGCGCTGCGGCCTGAGTTCCGCTTCCGGCACATTACTTCCGCTTACGGATGGTGCAACATGCGATTCCCTGCCCACCGGGCGGCGATTAAATTGGATCCGCTTTCGGCCCAGGATGGGAATTGATCGCATCGGACATTGCGGGCCCGATAGGAAACGCCTTAAGGGACGGGACTAACAGGTCCAAGTGAACAGGTCAGAAACGGCTGATTCTGACCGCAAAAGAGGCAGCACAGAGCATATTCCCTGTCACTCATCGAGGCGGTAGGTGGGACTTCCGGGTGCGGCGAACAGGGCAGAAACAGAGATCGCAACCCTAGGTCCGTGCACCCCTCTGGTTTTCGCTGTTTCCCTGTTTATGCCACGGTTGGCAGCAGGGTTCCTGTTGCCGGGGAAACCGGGGTGGGACTTCCGGCAACATGGTAAATCGGGGCGGGACTTCTGCATGGGAGCATTGACCAGGAATTAATGACTTAGAGAGGTTCCCAGGGGATGGGCGGTGTCACGGGAGCCGTGATGTCAGAGGAGTTACAGGCGTGGCCTGTAGGGCACACAGCTGTCAATCAAACACCTGTCATTCAGTCATTCATTCATCATTCATTCAGTCATTCACTCAGCCACTCATTCATTCAATCACTCATTCATTTAGTCATTCATTCATTTATTCAGTCATTAATTCATTTACTCAGTCATTCACTCATTCATTCAGTCATTCATTCAATCATTCATTCATGCAGTCATTCATTCATTGATTCAGTCATTAATTAGTTCATTCAGTCATTCATTCACTCATTCAGTCAAAGGTCAGTCATTCATGAAGTAATTCAGTCATTTCAGTCATTTTTTTATTTTTTTTTTTTTTTATATTTTTTTTCATTTACTCATCCATTCAGTCATTACCTCTTAGTTCATTGTACAATCATTCATTCATTCAATCACTTCCTGTGTGTGCTGGAGGCGGGACTTGCGGTCCCTGAGGCTAAGGCTCTGACATAGACAGGCATAGGCAGGATTTCCTGTTTCCTTTTACCTACACTGTAGCCCATGGCCATCTTGAACCCAGCAGTCTTTTTTGCTCACCCAGGGGCAGGAAATAAGTCCCATCATCTCAGAGGAACCGGAATTGGTTGTCTCAAGCCGGAAGTTGACAATTTCTGGTCCCTCCCAGAACGGAAGTGAACCCCCCAGACCGGAAATGTGCGATCCTTTCAACATGGAGCTGGTTCCACTCACCAGGCTGCTGCAGGGGAAGAGGGTGGTGCTGGCGAGCAGCTCCCCCAGGAGGCGGGACATCCTGTCCTCCATGGTGACTTCCAGGGGCAGGGCCTGCTCTGGGATTGTCAGCTGTGACTTCCAGGGGTGGGGCCTGCTGTGACTGACAGCACACCCCCCCCCCAGGGACTGCAGTTCGAGGTCGTACCCTCCCACTTCCAGGAGTCCCTGGAGAAGGCGAGATTTCCGGCTCCGCCCGAATATGCCCGGGAGACAGCAAAGCTGAAGGCTCTGGAGGTGGCGTCGCGGCTGTGCAGGGTGAGGATGGCCCCATCCCTTCTGGTCAGGTGGTAGGCCCCACCCCCCTTCCTTTCGAGGCCCCGCCCACAAGCCTGCCCCGCCCTCTGCTCTGCAGGACCTGCACCCTCCTGATGTCATTATTGGAGCTGACACCATTGTGGTGAGTGAGGCCCTGCTCCTTCCGGCCCTGCCCACCCTGCCCCTCACTGACCCGGCCCCTTGGCGTCTGGCTCCGCCCACTGCAGGCCGTGGATGGCGTCATCCTGGAGAAGCCAAAGGACAAGGATGATGCCTACAGGATGCTGCGCAGGTGGGCGGGGCCTGAAGGGGCGGGGCAGACCCACCCAGGGCAGAGTGGGCGGGGCCTCTGCATGGAGCTCCAGCCTCTGCCCACCCCAGCCCTGCCCCTTGCCAACCACGCCCTGTCCCGCCTTCCCTGGCCCCGCCCAGGCTGAGTGGCCAGCAGCACAGTGTCATCACCGGTGTGGCCATCTTGAGGCCACTGTGGCGGAGGCAGCTTCAGGAGCCGAGTTCCACATGCCCAGAGGCCCCAGAGGCGGAAGGGGACCCAGAAGCAGAAGTGGAATTGTCACTGTTCCACGAAGAGACCCGTGTGACATTCTCGCGGCTATCGGAGCCACTGCTCTGTGAATACGTGGAGAGCGGGGAGCCTCTGTGAGTGGGTGCGGGGGTGGGGTGGGTGGGGCCAGGAAACCTGGAAGTGAGGCCTGAAAAGGAAGAGCTGTCCCCGGCGGGCGTGGGTGTGGCTGAGCATGGCACCTGGTGTGACTTCGTCCCTGCCTTGCACCCAGGGACAAGGCTGGCGCCTACGGGCTTCAGGCGCGAGGTGGTGCCCTAGCAGAGCGCGTGGAAGGGGATTTCTTCAATGCCGTGGGGTTTCCACTCAACCGCTGCATTCGTGAGCTGGCTGCCATCTTCCCGGATGTGGGACCACATGTCCCTGTCAGCCAGCGTCCGGCCACACCCCAATAATGAGGATTGTAGATGGAGAGTGAGTATGTGAGTGACTGTCTGGGCGGGTATTCTGGTGAGAGAGTGACTGAAGGGGCGGGTCTTCTGGTGAGTTTGTGAAGCAGTGACCCATTTCCCATGATGCCCTTGGTGCATTGTGTTTGATTGACAGAGCAAGGTTCCCTCAAGTGCATCACTTCCCAGTGCTAGGACACAGGACATGGGGTGAGGTGTGTGGAGGCAGGGTTAGGGGACAGGCCCACCGAGGGGAGTACACCTAAACCCGCCCCTGTGGCCCCGCCCCTCCTGATGCCCCGCCCTCACCATCTCCATGGGCCCTGCCCTTGCCCCCACTGGGTCCTGCATGAGCAGCTTCACCATCAGATGCCTGTGATGGACATTTGACATCAGGAGCAGGGTCAGAGGAGGCCCCACCCCCTGCCCGCACTCTGATTTGCATATTCAAGAGCTGCCTGGAGACTCAGAAGACATCAAGTACAGAAACTGCTGGGGTTAATTTGCATGGCCACACCTCCAAATGACCTAACCTGCATGTATTTGCAGGTCAAAGTCCCAAACAGATGGGAATACTTGCATTCATTTGCATAGCAAAAGCATGCAAAGCAGCACAAATTTGCATATTAAAGTGTATTTCCGAAACTGGGGTTTGCTCATTTACATACTCAAATGTGAAGCCCCAATCAGACTTCCAGATTTTCAGGCACTGTGCTTATTTGCATAATCAAAATTACTAGTGCATCCTTTACATAACAGTTTAGTAGCCTCATTTGCATATTTAAATGAGTGGCAGGTTTTTACTGCTCAGCATCAGGCCCCACCCCTTCAGCACTACCCTAGCTCACCTGTCCCCTACCCCGAGGTCACAGTGTCCAAGGTCACAATCAGTGACCCTCTCCAGGCCCTGCCCTCAACCACACCAGGCCCTTCCCCACTTTCTCTCCTAGGGTCCCCGAGGGCAGGGCCGGGGTCTGGGTATTACCTATGGTGCAGACAGGACTTGGTCCAGGCAGTGACATCACAGGAAATTGTGACTGTGAGCAGGAAGTGCCCTCCTTCCCTACCCTCACCATCTCCACCCCCAGCTGGGCATGGCAGGAGTCTCCTACCAAACTCTTAGGTTACCAAGCAGCAATGCTAGGACCCAGAGGGCAGTGGCCATGGTGAACAGGTTATGAGAGTTAAAAACCCTGAGGATGATGAGTGTGGCCCCTGTGACATCACAGAGCTCACCCCTCCAGGCCCTTGTGATGTCAGTCACCGCATACCCTGCCCCTCCAGCTGTCAATCACTACAGACCCCACTTCCTGCCTCTGGGCCATGAGGTCTGCTGAGGGTGTGATCTACAGGCTGACTGGGCGGGGACATGTCAGCTATCTTTATAAAGGTAGAGGGGCAGGCTGCAAGCCGAGGGCTGGATTTCCTGGCAAGGGAAACCTGGCAGTAGAGACTCAGGTCAATCATCAAGGGTGGGGCATGACTTCTGCTCGCAGATCGCAGCCAAGGCTGACTTGAGCCAAGGCCATCAGGAACTTTTGTAACTGCTGTGGCTGGGACTGCATTTCCCAGCATCCTATGCGGCCACTTATTGCTTCACTGCCCAGAGACTTCTGGGTTTGGATGTTCATGTCCAGGACTGCATTTCCTAGCATCCTGTGCGGTCGATTCCTGCCTTTATGCCCAGGGATTTCCGGTTTTCATCTGTACCGGCCAGGGACTGTAGTTCCCAACATGCTCTGCGGTGGCTTTCTGTTTTTCAGCAATGAAACTTCCAGTTTGTAGTTTTTGGAGGCCCAGGACTCCATTTCCCAGCATTCTCTGTGGCCACTTCCTGCTTCCCTGCCCAGGGACTTCTTATTTTCATCTTTGGCAGCCAAGGACTATATTTCCCAGCATGATTTGTGTCCGCTTTTCTATGAATGGACTTCCGGTTAAAAACTTTGGGGTCCAGAACTGCACTTCCCAGCATGCTGTGTGGCTGCTTCTTTCTTTTCTCCCCTTGACATTCTCTTCTGGACTTCAAGGCCCCTAACTACAGTTCCCAGCATGTGCTGGGCTTGTTTCGATCTTTTCAGTTCCTAAACTTCTTCTGGTCTCTGAGGCTCCAGGACTCCATTTCCCAGCTTCCTGTGGTGCCGCGTCCTGTTTTTTCAGTCCTGAAATTCCACCATTTAAAGGCACATAATAATTTAGAAATATTTGAGACTTAGAACAGTTGAATTTAAGTTGTATGAAGTTAGCTTACATTTACATAAAGTTAAGTTGAAATCGAATGTACAGATATATTATTCAGGACTGGGTAAATTGAGAAGGACAAGAGTGTGAAGCTATGTATAACATAGTCAGAGAAAAAAGATATTACAGACAAAGAATAAAAGGCAAACGGTAAATGACTTACAGGTTCTGTTGGTGGCAGAAGCTGGCTAGACTCTTTCTGCCTAGATGGCTGATGTAGCAGAAAGAAGAACCATGGTGGGTAAAGCTAGGCCACATGGTCAAGATGGTGGCTGCCATAAACATATTCCCAACAGCTGAAAGAAATCGTAAAGTTTTGAGATATAATTTTGTCTTGAGCAGATGCTGCCTCAGCCCAGCCCACCATGCTGAGACAGGTTGCAGCTGGGGCAGGCAGGAGAATTTGAGCGTGCCAGGAAGAGAACCGAAACAAGTTTAGGGAAAGAGATTGTTTAGCAGAGATATTAAAAAAAAAAAAAAAAAAAAAAACGCCTTCCATCTATCTGTTCCCTGGCAGTAATTTGAAAGATCCCATAAAATATCGGGATCTAGAGAGCCGTTACGTGGCCAATTTGAATTATTTTCTAGGGGATATCTAGGCTACTTTTCAGTACAAAGGTAAATAAGTCTGGGTGACTTTACAAGTGGCATTAAGTGAAAGGGTTTTAAATTTTCTATCAGGCATCCCAGTGGAGTGGTGGGGGATATTTCCTTGGTCGGTTTATTCCCCATGGGTGGAGTGAAAGTGACCATGCAGTCTTGGAACTCATCAGCCCAAGAGTGTGGCCACACGATTCGCAAGAATGGCAGAGCGTTATTCGAAGCTCGTTAGCCCGAAAAACGTTGCCAGGACCAACAGAGGCCGGAAATACTCAGCAGTCTGAGAGCAGAGCCGATATACCACACTGGGCAGTATGTCTTCCACCCATGGAATGTACCTGACCTTAAGGAATTGGGTTAAAATGTAAAAGGGTACCTTACCTAATTGAAGCCTGTGTGGGGTGGTATTTCCAGTGAACGGGGGGGGGGGGGGGGATGGTGGTGGAACGCTGGTATCTGAAACAAGATCCTGAGTGTTTCTGGCTGGCCGCCCACCAGCAGACAGCTGTCAGTGACCCTCACGTAGAGCCTGCCTGGGTTTCGGCACCAATGTTGTTCTTTTGCTGTGCAGCTAATGCCTAAGAAACACAAACGCGAGACTCAGCGCCCACGTGGAGATTGTTGAGAGAAGGGAGAGAAAGAGGGGGTAGCTGGTGGCCAACTGAAAGCACGAGAGAAAGAGGGGGGTGTGGGGCACTTGCTTTAAAAGGGGAGGCTTGCACATGTGTAACTGAGTCCTCTGGCTGCCAGGTAAACCTTGAGCCATCAGGTAAAGCTGATGTAGCAATGACATGGCCATGAGGGTCCCGCCCATCTTCAGGGTGGGGGGGGTCAAATGGCTGCTAGTTCCTAACAATCAGATTACTAAGTGGAGTCACTATTTAGCTACACATGTAGTTAAGTGTAAGCCACTAGTTAGCCACAAACTAACCCACTAGTTAGCCACACATACTAGCTCACTAGTACCCACACACACCATGCCACTTGTTAGCCACATACTTAACTCACTATTTAGCCACACATATGAAGTCACTAGTTAGACAAACACCTAAATCAATAGTCAGCCCCACACCTATGTCACTAGTTAGCCACAAAAACTAAGCCACAAGTCCATCACACAAATAAAGCAGTACTTAGCCCCACACACTAAGACAGTAGTTAATCATACACCTAAGTTAATATTTAGCTACATCCCTAAGCAGTAATTAACCACATTGACTAAGTCACTAGTTAGCCACAAAGCTAGGTTACTAGTTAGCCACAGTCTCTATGTCTCTAGTTAGTTACACACAATATATCACTACTTACCCACCCATACTAAGTCAGTAGTCAGCCACACATCTAATTTACTAGCTAGTCACAAACACCAAGAAAATAGTCAGCCACACACACACTGAGATAGTAGTTAGCCATGCACCTATGTATTTCTATGTATTTAGTCAACTACACACCTAAGTCACTAGTTAGCTACCAACACTAGGTCACTAGTTATCCACACACATTAAATCAGTAGTTAGACACACACACTATGTCACTAGTTAGACACATACTAAGTCTGTCTAAAAGAAAAACAGCTCACACTAAGGTGGTCCCAGGACATGGGAATCAGGCCTTTATTCCCAGCAGCAGGGATTTGGAGATAGGAGTGACATGGCTGGACAGAGAGAGGAAGATAAGGTAGAGGAGCGAGTAGAGCATGCTGTGAGATGATTTTGTTTGAGAAGTTAGTCTGAGGGATTGAAGCGATAGCAGTCAATCTGAGTAGGCAGTGTGAGGACAGGAACACATCGCTTGTCTGAGAATAGGTAGAGATAACAACTCTAGTAGCCAGATGCTCTGAATCTGTGATCCTTCAATTTTCACCTTCCCCTCCCTGTCAGATTACTGTGAGTTTTTATTATTAAGATCTATTAGAACTTGTGCTGGAAGTGATGTTCTCTCTGTGGAGGTGTGATATTTCAAAGTCAATAGAGGTAAAAATTTTAAATTATTAAAATATTAACTTTATTTTTTTTGAAAATTACATTGGTATCTTTTTAATGTTTTTAATTTGTAATTTTTTTTTATTATACTTATCAAACCAGTTCCCTCCAACTTACTCCCACCCTCCTTCCCGTCCCAACTTCCCAGGCCCCCAGCCACTCTCTCCTCCCATCCAACCAACACTATACACGTAGGTGGATGCCTTCCAGGAGGGGTCATCTAAATCCTTCAAGTCATTTTAAGTAGACACTAAAATGTCTCTCCTGTCTCAGGGTTAATGGAGTATCCCTCCATAGGGATTTTCCCCCAATGTCCTTTTTGCAACAGGGATACTTCCTGGTCCCTCTCTCTGAAGACCCTTAGACTGCACAGGCCTTTTAGCTGAGACCCATGTTCAGGGGTCTGTGTCAGTCCCATGTTTGATTCCCAGCTATAAGTCTGGAGCCCCATTAGCTCCTCCTTGTTCAAATCAGCTGTGTCTTTGGGTTTCTGCAATGTGGTCTTGTCCTCCCTCTCCGCATATGGATTCAATTTTGGCTCAGTGTTTAGTTGTCCAAGGTTGCTTCTGTTTCCATCAGCTACTAGATGTGGTCTCCATGATGGTGGATAAGTTAGTCATTGATCTCATTGCCAGCGAAGGGAATTTATGGTAGCCTTTACACTGTTGCTCAAATTGTTAGTTGGGGTCATTCTTGTA